GTCAGCTTTCTGACTGCCTTGTCAGCAGTGCAAAAGATCCAGCACCTCTGGATCATGAGCCACTGGTCTGCTCTCTGTAGCTCACCTACAGTACTTGCACACACCCACAACTTTTCCCATTCAAAGCTATGGGACACAGGCATGTGGCCACTCACTAAGGTTGAAATTTGTGTTGCAAACTGCCTCCTCAGCTGGCTCTGTAGCACCAGGCCAGACCTCCTGTGACTTCTGTTAGTCTAAGATGTACACTATACAGCACTGCCATTGCTCTTTTGGGTAAACCACTCATTAATGTTCGTTCATATATGCTGTTTTAAGAAATTTTATAATTCCAGATAAGAAATTTTTACATCGCCTTTCACTAATGAACCACAGAATTCAATAGAATGAATGGAAAAGCGTAGAGGGACTAAATTCTATCTGCAAGATCACCCAGCACAATAATCAGGAGCAAAACTTCGGTTTACAGAATAAATTCAGTCCAATTTTCTGTTACACACACTTCTGCTCTGCTTCTGTTAATTTCTACTTTGGTAACTTATTAAGGAGAAATCCCTCTTCCTACTCATAAATCACAAATAGAAGCTCGTGGTTTCAATAGATTCTATAATACCTTTTTCCCCCTTTTTAGTGGTATGACTGGATTTCATGTAGATAGAACAATTTAACCTCTCCACTTCTGACAACAGTATAGTCAGTTACCTTTGCTGACCTGGGTCACACAATCCTGAATCAGTTTTATTCATCTGTTTAGGGAAGTACATCTATTAGGCATGTTACCCCAAATCTAACTAAAGCCCAAGGTTTGCATAATAGGAAATTCAGGGAGGACTCTATTATGCTACTGTAAATAAATTAACTGATCTCTCTATTCTTAGCAATGAGAGAGGAATATTTTCTCTCTACAGACACTGTGAAGCCTTCAGCACAAGAATTGCTTTTTATGAAGTTACTGAGCAATTAGGTTGTACAAAATCATATCAGTTTTAAGTTCTAGGATTGTTTCAGTCAGACACTAGCCTGTCACGTTATCTTTTGGATGTGCACATAAACCCTGGAACTCTGTGCTATTGCAGCACTTTGTGGTTATTGCACCTCTCAGTACTTAAAGGGAGCCTATAAGAAAGATGGGGACAAGCTCTGTAGCAGGACCTGTTGTGATAGAACAAAGAATAATGGTTTTAAACTAAAAGAAGGTTGATTTAGACTAGACTTATATATAGACATGATATAAGGAAGAATTTTTTTACAGTGAGGATAGTGAAACACTGGCACAGTTTGCCCAGAGAGGTGATTAACACTCCATCCATGGAAACATTCAATGTCAGGTTGGATGGGGTACTGAGCAACCTGGTCAAGTTGAAGATACCCTGCCCATGGCAAGGTGGGGAGAGTAGGTGACCTGAAATTTTCCTTCCAACTCAAATTATTGTATGATTTTAAAATTATATTCCTTTCACCTGGCACAAGTTCACAAATTACAGTCAGGCACACTTCTTGTGAAATCACACTTCTTTTCTCCATCACTGTTTTCAGGCCTACTATTGATAAGGATTACAAGTAATACATTTAGAAGAAAAAATCCCAGTACCCAAAATCTTCAGCATATCAGCACCATGAATTTTGCAGAACCTTTGTGCATATGTTCTACAAAGAACAGTTTCTCTTTAACTTTGTTTTCTGTCAGAGTGTCTTTAATTATTTGCAGAGAATGCAATTCTGCATCTGTTATTTATGCAAACAGTCCTGTTTTATTTAGACAAGCCTCCTTTCTGACTAAAGATACAGAGGTTCATTTTTGCATCTTGAGGAGAGATCCTAGAGGTTTTGTTCCAGCTGAACATATCTTAAAATTCATGCAATGGCTATGGGCAATAAAAATTTTCTGCATCTTTCTTCCTTGTGTCTGCAGACACAAGGATCTGAAACCATTCTGGCAAGTTTCCTATTAGAGGGACCCCATGGCATTTAGTGAGGGTAAAAATAGAAAAATTTGAGGGTTTTTTCCCCCCTTGACTTTTATTTTTATACCAAACACTGTGTATTCTCAGGGTACTATAAACACATACATCAAACCAGTGGTCCTACATAAACTCTGGCATATCGACTGATATCAGGCTGTTATCAGTGAAATAAATTGCAAAACCATTCTAATAGTTCTAATATTCTGATCCAAGGCCCAACAGCACCTGTGGCATCACGTGGACTCACTTGTCCACGTTTTGTATCAAGATATAAGGCTGTGGGGATACAAGTGATTAAATATCTGTACAGCTGGAATCATGGGAGCACACTTCTCTAAGTTTCCTGGTAACACAAGGTGTCTTCCTTGACTGGAAAGTAATGCTACTGAGCAATTGCTTTTCTATTTGTATTTTCGCTTGAGGAAACAGTGAGTGTTGTCTTACTGTAGCTTTGTTTTTCCCTTGTCTGTGCCTGTTGTCATAATTTCTTTAAGCTCTTTAAGCTGAAGTGGTAGCAGCTGTGGGCAACAGAGGACAGTCAAGGGAATAAGAAGTTTCTCATGCAGTGTCCATGTTCCTTGACTTAATGTATTGTTTTATACTGCCCTACAACTGAAACAGTATATTTGCCATATTTGACCAAAACTTTGAGAAATGCTCTCAGATGTGGCAGATTTAAAGAAAAAAACCCCACAACATAAAAGATATACTATGAAGCTGTAACACAAGTAATTGGGTTAAATCAATCTAAGCAAGAATCAGAAGGTCTTTGGAATAATTTGGTAGTAGGGCATTCTGACCAGTTGTTAAATGTTCTAATTCTTCATTTCTCATCACTGTGGATTTCATTTATATTGTGCCTATATATCACTGTGGCATCAAAATTCTTCAGAAATTTAATATCAAATAATGAGCATTACTGGTACCCCCTTAATTTCAAATGAAGCAGATTTATACCAATTCCTAATTTTCTCTGACACTGTGGTAAGTCCAACAGTGATCTATTTTCTCCTGCACTCCTTCTGCCACACATAATTGTTAACTTCAGGAGAAAGTTAGAGAAATACAGGTTTGAAGGTCAAACTGGTATCATATGACTGCTAAATATAGATGCTTGACAAGTAAAAGAGCTTCACAGGTCTTGGCATGTTTTGCTTGGTGCAATTCTACCTCTGCACATATGCAGACAGACAACTTCCCTCAGACTATATCAGAAATAAGAACATTAATAAAATAGAAAATATCTAGGCAGCCGTTACAAATGTATCCCTTCTGATCTTCTGAAGTGGAGCAGGATATGCCTAATCTGCAATATTTTCACTCTCATTTCAGTCTGTCACTGATGGATACTCTCAGGAGATGAAGCACAGCATTTTAATATTCTCCTAACCTGTACTCAGCATTGGAATGAATCTGTTTTTGTTTAAAAAATCCATCTCCAGAAAATAACATTGCCGTGTGTGCAGCATTGCACAAGCAGGAAAACATGATTAAACAACAAAAATGTGCTAAGAGTGAATGAAATAGAAGAGGAATCTTCAAAGAGCTCTTTTCACCTATTTTGCCTGCCTAAAAACAATTTCCATGGGAAAAAATGGCTTTGAAAGGAACTGTCTGTGCTTGTACATTTCTCGTTGCAATCCTGTCCTGGGATCCTGGGATCTATAATGCAATATCTACTGTCAGGACTATGACAGTTTACAGATGTGCAGCCAGACTTGTTTCTATTTATAGATGCCTCTTCTGCAAACAGTGCTCTATGGGGTTGTAGTGCAGTAGCAGGCATGTTCTTTGATATATTGCTTACATCATAATCATTTAAGAAAATTTTGCTCTTCACCTGGCATGGCAAAGGAGGCATATTTATGAAGGTCGAGCAGAGAGAACACTATTGTGAAGAGAAATGTGGATGGAATTCATGAGCGAGCAGGACACCTACTGGGAGGACTAAGAGAATGGAGGAGAGATTTGGCAGAGATGTGGAAATAATAAAGAATGGAATAGTCATGTGTTCACAGTAGGTTTTGCTCTTTATTCCCTCTAACTGGGGAGAAGGTTCAGCGCCGCCCCTGCAAGGGTAAAGCTGTAAAGTTGTTTGGGGTGCAGCGCCCATGGGGTCTGTACACGGGTGTGCTGCATCTTGCTTAAGCATGTGTTAAGTGTTCAGTCAGAGTGCTAGGCACAGTCTATAAATAGAAACAGAGAGTTTGGCACACGCTCGCACTTTCGCCTGTCTCCTTCTCACATGCTCCCAGAGATGCTGGGACTGCATCCTGCATCCTTCTGCTTTTCCAGACCTGAGACTTCGCACACTGCTGTATCCCTTGAGAAGTCTCAGTGAGGTCAAGACAGCCCCAGACAAGTAAACAGGGGCTGCTCAACCCCAATGTTGAGGAAGCAGAAGGTAACGGGTGGGGGAGAGGCGGGGGGGGGTGGATTTCTTGCAGAAAACCTGAGAGCTCGCAGGGTACCCTCTCGGCCTGAAGGCAGTGCAAAGCTATTTTTGGCACGGCCAGGCCAGCCGGACAGCCCCCACCCCGGGCAGCTCCGCTCTGGTAATATCCAGGATGCTGCAGAGACGCGGATGCTCCTAAAGCCGCCCCAAACGCTCCGAGCCAAGGCTGCCGGCAGAAAGCACGGGGAGCTGGCCAAGGTGCTGCCGCAAGAGACGGTCTGGCCCTTTCGGCGTGTCCAAGCCCCGAATTCCCGCCCGCAGACCCCACACCCCGCGGAGCCTCCGCTCCGCACGGCCGCCCAACTTCCCGGGAAGCGGCGGCGGAGCCGGGCCCCGGGCAGCCCCGAGCGCCTGGAGGGCTCGGCGCCGGGCAAACTTCTGTGCCTACGGGGACCGGAGGGATCCGGGGGGGACGTGGGGGGAGAGGGGAGGCAAACGCAGGATTCCATAGCAGCACGGCAGGCAGGAGCTGGCCGGAGGGGCCGGGAAAGTTGTTCTGCACTTGGTGCTGCTCCTGCCGAGGGATCAGTGCTCGGGTCGGGGGGAGCGCGGCGCCGGCTCCGGCTCGCATCCTTACTCACCTCGGTGCTGTCGGCAGCGTTCTCCGCCATTTTCCTCCTTAGGAGCAGGCAGCGGGAGGAGTGTTTCATTCCCATAAGAGCTAGCCAAGGGGTTGGGGCTTCGGGGCTGGTGTTTTGGTTTGTGTTTTCAAAGATCTCCAAACACTGGTGTGCGCCAAAGGACAGGGAGATAAAAAAAAAAAAATACGGAAAACAGCAATAAATCAGTCAGCTTTGTCCTTTCTGCGTCGTCCACAGGAATGTTTGTCTCCTCTTAGCATCGGGAGCTCCTCAGGCACTTTCAAGTCCTCCTCTTTCTCCCCTCTCCTCCACCTCCAGCGAGTTCTTGGGGTGGGCAGAGAGAGGCGGCACACACTCTTCAGGTTAAACTAAAAGGCTGTCGGGCTATGAGTCCTCCCCTTCAGAGAAAGCAGTCGGGCTAAACAGGAGAGAAGCACCAGCTAAACTGAACTTGGGCGTGCAGTGACCAGCTGGGCATCTTTGTGTCCTGTGGCTACTCTTCCAGAGGCAGAGGGAGCCAGAGACAAAGCAACAGGACAAGGAAATCATAGCCCTTTATTTTCCTTCTTTGGGCTTCTTTCTTTATCTCTATGTCCCAGGACACTTCCTTTAAAGACGGTCACAGAATTTGCCACCCTCTTTCTATGAATGTCTTCTGAAATAGAAATCCCTTCTCCTTCTCCTCCTCCTCCTTCTCCCTCCCTCCTCCCCCCCTCTCCCCTTCCCTCTCCCTTTCCTTCTCTTCTCCCTTTCCGTCTCCCTACCCCTTCTGCTCTTGGGCAGAGCTTGGTGCCCCTCACTGGGAATTGCATTCACGTGTCTTTCTTAGAAAAAAAAATAATATAATTTCAAGCTCCCCCCACCCGTCGCCTACACCCTCTCACACACAAGCACGCATTCACACGTACGCACACACACGTTGTCTCCCTCTCACACAGACATGCACAATTTTTTTTCTCTTCCCCATCCCTCCTCTTCTTTTGAATCAGCAACACTTTTCTTTGCAAGGACTCTCGGCAAGGCTCTTAGAGAGCAACCGAAGAAGTCTGCTCCAGCTTCTTTCCTCCGAGTTAAGTAGCAAACCTGCTTTCTTAATATATCTTCTCGTGTGTGTGCTCCCAGCTCCTGTTTTACTTGAAGTTTTTCAGGAGGATCCACACTCCGTCAGAGAGCCGTGAACTGTAGGAATATAGTCCCGATCCGGCTGCAGCTCCTGCTGAAAAGGGGGGAGGAGGAGTTGGGGGGAGGAGAGGGGAAGAGGCGGAGGGAGAGCTCTTGCTGGGGAGGGAAGAGAAGAGGCTAAAGGTGATTTGAACTTGTTTTTAGCCTTTTCCTAATGACATCTTCCTCTGTAGGAGTGCATCGCCACCTTCCCCACACGTTTATTTTGCTTTCACTCCTCCGGGCACTTTCTAGTTCTGAGTTGTCAGCTGGGAGGATTGGGTTTGCCTCACTCGTGTTGCTGTGGGTAAGGGCGGGAGAGGGGGCGTATTACATAATTAATCCTTCCAACTTCACTTTCCGCAGCTCCATCTCCAGCCCACTGTTCTCACGTTTCTGTTTTGTTTTTATACGGAGGAGGTGAGAAAATAATGCTGCTGTGTGGGTGTGTGTTGCTCGAAGGATTTCAAGGACCAGAACAGGATTGCTGCTCTCTGAACAGTCTGAAATTATTTCCTCTGGGGGTGCCAATGGAGACCTGAAGTAGAGGTTTGAAGGATTACTTTTGTTGCATATTTTAAGAACATAGCCAGCTCAGCTGCTTCATCAGTAACAGATTTTGATAGATTTGGGGTTTTGAATTTTTGTCCCTTGCAGCCTATTTTAATATCTTTCAATTAGAGTTTATCCTCAGCTGACCTCTGGAATACTGACATACCATGAAGTACTGCCAAAAAACAGGAGGTCCCTGGGCACCAGGAGTCGGAAATGTTCCTGGAGGTGGGAGAATGGAAATAGAGAATGTGAATTAGAGAGTAGAGAGCAAAATTATTCTCCTGCCCCGTGGGGATGAGGAGGTGGGGCCAAGAAAATTAAATAGGCGAATTTCTCCTTTTTTACTTGAATGACCCTCACAAATTCTTGCTGAGAAACGAATCAGCAGGTATACATTAGGTTTCAGGAATTTGTAAGAAGTCGCACAGTAATAAGTAAGAAACCTAGGGAAGCAGAAGGTGTGTGGTATGCTGAAATGTCAAGTGGCAATGACAGTATGCCAGGTAGGGTAGAATGGTACCATATGAAGCGGTTTCAGAATATGTTTTAGACACACATTCCATACAGACTGAAACTGGACCTCTGTGAGACACTTTGCAGAGCCATTTGATAACTCAGTCTTTCACAAGCTTCTGATTTCCCCCTATTCCTTTCATCTCAAATTTATTTTGACACCTCAAGTTCTTTCATTAACTCCATATCACTGCTAATTTTTTCAGTAATCATCCACACCTCCTTTGTTTACATAGTAGAATTTAATTTCACACCTTCTAGGTATGAGGCTTAAGTAATGACAGAGGTGGAAGCAGGTCATCTCCCCTTTTCTTTGTGACATTCATAGAGCTTTTGAAGGTCTTAAACCCCTTCAAATACGAAAACCTCTGTAGTCATTGTCAAGTATTCCAAAGCTACTCTCATAATCTTGGGCTATGGACCTCTTTCTCACCAAGTACTTCAATTTCTAGGTGAAGTGGTAAGGAGAAAAAATAATCTGCAGATAAAAATGTAATATCTCTGCAATCTTTGTCACAATGTTTTTTTTCTGCTATGGCATGAATATCTGGTGGTGAGTGAGTGCATGAAGTTTTAGTCAGCATGCATTTGGACTAACCTGCATAGTTTTAGTGTGTCTTTTCTATTTTCAGGTGATAAACACAGCTAAACTTAGCTTAATTAAACATTTTAAAATAAACCAGTGTTCTATATAGAGAAAAAAGAATTAGATTTAAAAAAACTACTCCAGAACATATTTTCCAGTTTTCTCTGACAGCTGGGTTTGTATTTCTGGTACAGCTCAATCACTCTTTAGTCAGCTAAATGAGGCATCAGATTTTCAAAAGCATTCGGCAACTAGCAAAGTTGGCAGGCAAAGATTTAATATATCCTTCCCTCCTATGCTTCAGATACTGCATGACTTACCCTGGCACCTATTCTTGTCCTCCTCCACCTCTTTGTCAACACAGATGATACCTGACTGCTCATCCTTGAACATGGTGCTGATGTTTTACGGATACTGGGAAAGCCTTCCAGTCTCTTAGTTTCCAGCGTAAGGATGAATGTTTTGGTCCTGAGCTCCTTTGGAAATCTGCCAGATGGTTGGTGTCTTCACTCCATTTATGTTCTATATGTGATTGAGGAAACTGCTTTGAAAACATTCACAGAGTTTTCTTTAATCTGCTTTATTCCAAAGGGAAAATGATTGGTCCTACTGGAACCCTTTTTTTTTTTTTTTTTTTAATCGGGTATAAGTTATTCCTTGTAATAATAATTTTTAAGAGATTCAGAGCAATTTGTTTACATACACAGATGTCTGTGAGCAGACAAAGACACTTGGCCAGTCCTTCAGTTTGAATATGAGGCTCAGTTCAAGTCCCTGTTGATACTGAAATTCACAGCAACACTGAACTTGAAGAATGTGAGCTTTCATACTGTTTAGGGAACAAATTCTACTCCTGTCATGTGACTACAAATCCTGCTGACATCACCCATTACCCAAGGGTGATAATTGGTTATTGGAACTGTCTTGGGAACATATTTCTGAACCCCTATTTTGTTAGATCTTGAGAAAAAGAAAACTGTCATGAAGAAAATGTCATAGTAGTAGAAGTGCATTTGCAGCAAAGCCAGGAGGTGTCAAAAGCATCTTCTGAGTTTAAATATATCATGTGTAAGTACATATGAAGGTCACCAACTATTAGGAATTGAGTAGAGTGGTGCTGAAGGGAAAGTGGAAGGGAAGCATTTATTACTTCAGAATTCCAATAATAGCAGCTGTGGTTGAGGCTGCTGTGATACTTGCTGAGTGTGGCAATACCACTGTGCTGGCCCTCAGAAGATTCAGATTTATTGCCAGCTTTGTCATTAGCTCGGATGAAACCCAGATGTCTGCATTTGAGGTGGGGTAATCCTGTGCATCGTTGCAGACTGAGAAATTGCAGAGCAGTCCTGCTGGAAAGCACCTGGGGGTGATGGGGTGGAGGTGCAGCTAGGTTGGATATGACTCATCACACACTCTCTGCATGAAAGGCAAGCTCTATAATTTATCTACATTAAATGGAAAGCAGCCAGTGGAGTGAGGGAACTGTGACTCTCTCTCTCTCTCTCTCTCCCTACTTGGAACTGGTGACACTACATCATTGACTCTGTGTCCAGAGCTGGGTCCTCTGGTTTGGGAAGGAGGCTGATACATTGCAGATGGCTCAGTGAAAGACTGCTACCGTGGTCTCTTAGGACACTAAGCTCTGAGGAAATCTGGGCTTGTTGGGCAGCTGGTAATGTCTTATGACTAGCTTTAAGGATTGTAACTCAGATGACCCAAACTCCACTCGGTACAGTCAGATCATTTGAAAACAGGCAACAACTGCACATTGTGGCTTTGGAAGTTAAGATTCAGTATTAGCCAATTCTTCGACTATAAATCCACTTCCTATTTGGATGGCAAAATATTCTTATTCCAATATCCCCACCAAATTTTGTTATCTTATCAATTTTGTTTGTAATCTGATTTGTTATTGGAAGGATCCTTCTGTAGCATCACTTTGCACTTTGCTTTTTATTGCTCAGGAAGTCACAGTGACTTCCTGTGTCTCTAAAGGTACCTTTGGCAATCTTTCCAGTCTCTTTATGCACTTTTATTCCTACTGTGTCTTTCAAGGTTTTCAGTACTTCAAATATTACTCTTATTCCTGAAACTTGCCCATGTTAATTCTGAAGAATTTGAAGTGAATTCTAATTCACACTGCAGATTTAAAGATCTCATTTTATTTATGGTGTTCCTTCCTTGTCCTTTAGTTTTCCTCATTAACTTCCCCCCTGCACCACCATGTATCATCTTCTTATCCTTCTTCGTGAATACTGCATATTCCAGCCTCTTCCTGGGAATCACTGCAGTTTTCAACCATTGATTTTAGGTTTGAGTGAGGAAGGGTCCATCAGAAGCTAAGCTGATCTGAGATACCCACTGCTGCAGGCCAAGCATAGATGTCCAGGGCTCAGATCATTCAGTGTTAAATTATAGACACCTTCTCACAAATGAATCCTTAGCCATAATGGAACACCCATGAAGTATCTCAGCAAGTTATTTTAATTATTTTTTCTAAGACTGTACACTTAATTTTATTTAAAAATAGAAGCTCTATTTTGCAGTTGCAAACCTGAAAACTTAATCTAAACTAAACCAAAATGTCCCTTCTATTTTTTTTCTTCCACTGAGAGTGCCAAACTCTAAATAAGTTGTAACTGGGTCAGTTGGAAGAAAGTTTTATTCTGACAACTTCTATAAAGGTCACCAAAGTGGGTCTCCAGTCCCCTGTGGATAGGAGGAGCTAAGCAGGTTTTTGAGAATTGTGATTACTACAATGGCAAAGATTAAAGGGCATAGTGTGATATGTTTGTTATACACTGACCTTGTTCAGTTCCCACCTATTTGAGCATTTACAGATCATGTACTCAGAACAGACAGCAAAATACTTCTGAAGTTTGACGTCAAAATTATCTTAAAGTTATGAGGTGCCCAAGAATTTTCTTATGCAAAACTTTTCCCCTGGTAAGAAAAACATGGGTATATTGGAGTGAGTTCACTGAAAGAGCCACAACAATCACAAAGTAACTGAGGAACTCTCTTGTATGAAGATAGGCTCAGACTGCTTAATGTGGGAGTGGGGGTAAAAAAGATGAAGACAGGCTTTTCTCAGTGGTACTCAGCAAAAGGAGCAGAGGGAATGAACATAAATTGAAATAAAGGGCATGGAAGCATTAAAAACTAATACTCTTTATACTGTGAAGGTGTTCAAAGGTGTTTTGTACTTTCCTTCCTTAGATGTGTTAAATACCTGGCTACAAATGGCGCCAGTGTAGCTGACAGTCCTTTGAGTGGGGGCTGGACTAGATGATTTCCTGATGTCTTTTCTAACTTCAGTGATCATGCAATTTTGTGTGATTGTGGAAGAGCCATCAAAATCACTTAGATGGCTCTGCCAGACCTGGCAA